TCTGGTTGAACTGGGCTTTCAGCTCGAAATAAGGCGTGCCAACCTCTTTATCTCCCTCCTCATCCCCAAAACAGCGGGATATGCCCCAAAATGGGACCCCCTGAACCCCTCGCCAGCCCCAGGGTGGGTGAGCACCAGCCCCATTGTTTCCCTTCCTTTCCCCCTTCCCAGTTACCTCCAGGATCTGGTTGAACTGGGCTTTCAGCTCAAAAGAGGGAGTGCCCTTCCCAGGTATCCCCCAACCTCTTTTTCTCCCTCCTCATCCCCAAAAACAGCGGGATATGCCCCAAAAATGGGACCCCCTGAACCCCTTGTGAGCCACAGGGTGGGTGAGCACCAGCCCCATCGTTTCCCTTCCTTTCCCCCTTCCCAGTTACCTCCAGGATCTGGTTGAACTGGGCTTTCAGCTCGAAATAAGGGGTGCCAACCTCTTTATCTCCATCCTCATCCTCAGAAACAGCAGGATACACCCCAAAATGGGACCCCCTGAACCCCTCACCAGCTCCAGGGTGGGTGAGCACCTGCCCAGTCACATCTCCCCCCACCACCTTTCCCAGTTACCTCCAGGATCTGGTTGAACTGGGCTTTCAGCTCGAAAGAGAGGGTGCCCTTCCCACACCCCCCCCAACATCTTTTTCTCCCTCCTCTTCCCCAAAAACAGCAGGATCCGCCCCAAAAACGGGATCCCTGAACCCCTTGTGAGCCCCAGGGTGGGTGAGCACCAGCCCCATCGTTTCCCTTCCTTTCCCCCTTCCCAGTTACCTCCAGGATCTGGTTGAACTGGGCTTTCAGCTCGAAATAAGGGGTGCCAACCTCTTTATCTCCCTCCTCATCCCCCAAAACTGTGGGATACCCCCAAAAACTGAGGGATACGCCCCAAAAATGGGACCCCCTGAACCCTTTGTGACCCCCAGGGTGGGTGAGCATCAGCCCAGTCATGTCTCCCCTGTCTCCCCAGCCCTTCCCAGTTACCTCCAGGATCTGGTGAAACTGGGCTTTCAGCTCAAAAGAGGGGGTGCCCTTCCCAGGTATCCCCCAACCTCTTTTTCTCCCTCCTCATCCCCAAAAACAGTGGGATACGCCCCAAAATGAGACCCCCCGAACGTCTCACCAGTCCCAGGGTGGGTGAGCACCAGCCCAGTCATGTCCCCTGTCCCCCCAGCCCTCCCCAGTTACCTCCAGGATCTGGTTGAACTGGGCTTTGAGCTTGAAAGAGGAGGTGCCCTTCCCAAGCACCCCCCAACTTTTTTTTCTCCCTCCTCATCCCTAAAAACAGCGGGATCCGCCCCAAAAATGGGATCCTTGAACCCCTCATGAGCCCCAGGAAGGGTGAGCATCAGCCCAGTCATGTCTCCCCTCACCACCCTTCCCAGTTACCTCCAGGATCTGGTTGAACTGGGCTTTCAGGTCAAAAGAGGAGGTGCCCTTCCCAGGCACCCCCCAACCTCTTTTTCTCCCTCCTCTTCCCCAAAAACAGCGGGATCCGCCCCAAAAATGGGATCCCCGAGCACCTCACCAGCCCAGTCACATTTCCCACCACCACCCCAGTCATGTCTCCCCTCACCACCCTTCCCAGTTACCTCCAGGATCTGGTTGAACTGGGCTTTCAGGCCAAAAGAGGGGGTGCCCTTCCCAGGTATCCCCCAACCTCTTTTTCTCCCTCCTCATCCCCTAAAAACAGCAGGATCCGCCCCAAAAATGGGACCCCCTGAACCCCTTGTGAGCCGCAGGGTGGGTGAGCACCAACCCAGTCGTTTCCCTTCCTTCCCTCCTTCCCAGTTACCTCCAGGATCTGGTTGAACTGGGCTTTCAGCTCGAAATAAGGGGTGCCAACCTCTTTATCTCCATCCTCATCCTCAGAAACAGCAGGATACACCCCAAAAATGGGACCCCCTGAACCTCTCGCCAGCCCAGTCATGTCCCCTGTCCCCCCCGCCTTTCCCAGTTACCTCCAGGATCTGGTTGAACTGGGCTTTGAGCTCGAAGTAGGGTTTGCTCTTGACGATGACGCGTTTGAGGGATTTCTGGAGGGCCTGGACCTTGGCCTCGGCCTGTTGGCAGAGCTGGGTGACGCGCTGGTGCTCCCGCTCGCTCCGCAGCCGCTCCTCCTCTGCCTCGTTCACCTGAGGACACCCCAAAAAACCCCCCTCAGAGGGGGGGTCTGTCCCCCACCCCCACCACCACATCCCCAAAGTCCCCAAAAAACCTCCTCTCCCATCCCACCCCACCCTCTCTCCCGGTTCGAGAGACGTGGGAGTCGTTTCTCTTCCAAAATTTCACTTTTTGGTACAAAAAAACACTCAACGCTGGGAAAATTGCCATTTTTTAACGATTCCAAGGTCTGAATTGGGGAAAAAATATCAATTTTATAGTCAATTATGGGATGCGGGATTCAAGGCCTCGGTGTTTTGGAGCTCACGGGGACGACGAGGGGAAATAATCCCTTCCAACGAGGGTTATTTCACATCACCAACATCACTTTTTCTATAAATTGGAAATTTTGAGGAGGAAAAGAGGAAAAAGGGAGTTTTTTCCTCTTCCGTTCCAGCTGCGATCCCGGGAATTCTTCACCAATTCCTTTCCCTTCCTCCCCAAACCCAACATTTGCTGGGAGCTTCCCACTGATCCATAATCCTAAATAATAATAATCTTAATAATAATCCTAAATAATCCTAATTAATGTAATCCTTGGATGTTTTATGTCGATATTGGGATATATTAGGTTTTTTAGTAGTATTAATGTGAATAATTATTCTAGCTCTAGGCAATCCTGCTTCAGCAGGGGAGTTGGACTAGATGATCTCTATGGTCCCTTCCAACTCTACAAATTCAGTGAAAAAAAAAAAAAAATAATTCAGTGAAATTGAGCGATTTTATTAAATCTCTTTACATTTCAACCCTCCCATCACCTTGTTTTTCCTCCCGGGTGGGGAGGGATGAGAGAATAATGACCGGAAGAGAGAATAATTAAATAAACGACGATAAATTGTGGGGTTTTTTGAATAAAAACGGGAATAAATTGGGTTTTTTTTTCAATAACGGGGGGAAACTGGGCTCACCTTGCAGGTGGCGTGGTTGAGCATCTCCTGCCAGGTGGGATCCAGGCGGTTCTTGTCGGCCATCACCCCCTGCTCGGCCACGAAGACCATCTCGCGGGCGGCGTTGTGCATGCTGACGGCGCGCTCGTAGCGCAGCGCCGCCTTCTGCGTCTCCTGCTGGGCCTACGGGGAGGGGAAAAGGGGGTGTTCGTACAGAGAATGGGGAGAAAAAAGTGCCCCTCATCCATCCAAGGAGGATCCAGGAAACTATAGACCTGTCAGCCTGACCTCGACACCAGGGAAAGTCATGGAACAGGTGATCTTGAGTGCCACCAAAACCCACATCATGGGCAACCAGGGGATCGGGCCTAGTCAGCGTGGGTTTATGGAAGGCAGGTCCTGCCAGACGAACTTGATCTCCTTCTATGACAAGATAACCAGATTATTGGACGAGGGAAAGGCTGTCGATATTGTAATAGCTGGACTTTCAAAAAGCATTTGACACTGTCCCCCAGACAAATCTGCTGGAAAAACTGGCTTCACAGGGCCTGGACGAGCATACGATCTGCTGGATCAAGCACTGGCTGACTGGAAGGTCCCAAAGAGTGGTGCTCAATGGATTCAAATCCAGCTGGAGGCTGGTCACAAGTGGTGTGCCTCAGGGCTCAGTGGTGGGACCATTTCTATTTAACGTCTTTATTGATGATCTCGATAAGGACATAGGGTGTATCATAGAATCATAGAGTTGTCCAGGCCGGAAGGGACCTCCAAAGGCCATCTAGTCCCACCCCCCCGCAGTCAGCAGGGACACCCCCAACTAGACCAGGTTGCCCAGGGCCTCATCAGGCCTCACCTTGAATATCTCCAGGGAAGGGGCCTCAACCACCTCCCTGGGCAACCTGTTCCAGTGCTCCACCACCCTCACAGTGAAGAACCCTCTCCTCATCTCCAGTCTAAATCTGTTCCCCTCCAGCTTGAAGCCATTGCCCCTCGTCCTGTCACTGCAGGCCTTTCTAAACAGGCTCTCCCCAGCCTTCCTGTAGGCTCCCTCAGGTACTGGAAGGCTGCTATTAGGTCTCCCCGGAGCCTCCTCTTCTCCAGGCTGAACAACCCCAGCTCCCTCAGCCTGTCCTCGGAGCAGAGGTGCTCCATCCCCCTCATCATCCTTGTGGTCCTCCTCTGGACCCTCTCCATCAGGTCCATGTCCTTCTTATATTGAGGGCTCCAGACCTGCACACA